ACATGAAATGACAAATAAATTACAAAACAAGAGGTGAAGTTCTTTTTTAATTGAACTGGTGCATTTTAAGTGTATTTATTTATTTAGTGGTTGATTTAAATATTTCTGCTTTTATTTCTAATTATGTCAGTTTTGGTTCTCCATACTACAGAACACGGAAGGTAAATCAGTGACTGAATCAGGTGTGTTGGAGTCAGGAAAACTGTAAAACATGTAGGGCTGTGGCCCTCGAGGACCAGGATTGCCCACCCCTGGTCTAAAGAGAGAGCTGTTTGAGTGAATGCAACGTGGAAAACTGAAGGTGCTCTATGAATGAAACACAGGAGGAAATAATGTTCTCTAGGTCCAATATTAAATGCAACGAACAAGTGGGAAACAAATACATTTGTGCAAACAAAACCTCCAGTAAATATGGGTGTGAACACAAGCATACACTCAAATACACAAAAGTGTTCTTCAATAACTTAAGATCCACAACTTGATTAATATTTTTGCACAATATCAGTGAGAAAGCAGTCCACTGTTAAGATATTTACACATGCTCAGTTTCTGCACACTGCCAGTGACTTTGATCCCTTTGTTTTCCACTGTGATCAGTGCCGAGGAGACTGCAGTGACTGGATATGAGGTACGACCCAATACATGAGGGCTCGGCCAAACATTTCACTATTTGTAGTCTTCACATCCCCTAACAGGACTTTATTAAAATAAATAATTGACAAAACAGTTTATAATTTGGCAAATGTGGAGATCACAGAGGCATGAGCAGGAGTAAATATTGGATTAAAGTCATTCTTCCTGCAGAGTCTCCACTCAAAGCTCTTTTCCTCTTCTCACTAGCAGCAGCAGGAGGACTGAACCTGTCCATGTGTATATACAAATACATTATACAATTAACTTGATTTACTTTGTAAAACAATGTCAAGTAGCTACGTACGATAAACGTCATTTTATATCGATGCTATCACCAGCAAACAAATCTAGGAACCACAGGAAAATCTAGAAATGCAAACCAAGCAGGAGATAAAAGAAGGCATGAGGCTGGGAGTGCTGCTCAGAGTTTTCCAATAAAAGAACGTTTAAAGAAGAGAGGTGAGGGAAACAGCAGACAGAACAAGGCAGAGGGGATGGCATCTCTGAACATCTGCTGACAGTATGTTGATCTGATGGCAGCTCTGTGCTAACATGGTTCCAAGTCTTGTCCTGCGACTGGCTGGGGTCTCATTACAATCGTATTGTGGGGTCTCCACGGGGGTAAGGAGGACTTTGTTGCTGTGGCATCCATTTTTGCTTTGAGGACGAAGGTCACAGACAGGTGGGAGTTCACAAAGTGAGTTTCAGTATTCTGAAGCGTACTCCGTACCATGGAGACCTCTGCAAATCAGTGTGAACTCCTTCACTATATCCTTCACCCTTCTCTTGTTCACTCGCTCTCTGTGTGACAGAAAAGTGCAAAGACAGCAAAGATAGTACAAATTAATGAATATACTGCTTGTAAAAATAAAACAAACTTGTTTGGACTGGATGGTTAATAAGCCTGTAAATAAATGTCAGTGTTACCTGAGTATCTGCTGTGAAAAGTTATTTTTCTGCTCAGTTGTGACGCGTGACGATGGGAATTCTGGAGGCTGCAGAACCTCTTTTAACCACACGGCGAGCAGGGAGAAGCAGTGCTTGTTTAGACTGAACAGCACCTCTGCAAACTGGTCCATCAGATTCCGAGACGCCCCACCACCAATACCCTGGAAACATCAAGTCATATGCTTTCATTTAGTTTAATGAACACATRTCAGAATCAGGTCTAAACAAGAATCCTGGTGATTCTCTGTCACAAGACTTATGTCACAATTTTTTAACAAAACTGTCAGATTTCACCCCTAAAATGATTGATTAATTTAAAAGGGTTTGTATTTACAGGATTTCAGCTCATGTAGTCATTTAAAGGAGACCAATTATGGGTCTTAGAAATGTTTATGGTATGTCTGTGGGCTATCCAGACCATGTTCATTCAATTTAATGCACAAAATAATTCTCAGATAATAAAATTTCCCATTTTCGAGTTCTGCCTGCTCTGACTTACGTTCAGAAGAGCTGTTTATGTTAATGAGCTCTGTTGGTAACGCCCTCCAAAAATCTGTTGACATTAACTCCGCCCTCCAAAGCTAGCGTTTACGTTAGCATGGCTAATAATAGCAGAAGCTCCGTTGTACAACCATATGAGACCCAGAGGCAGAGTCGGTCGCAGCTTCTTTTTTTCTCTCTCTCCTCTGCTCTGCGCTCACTCTGCATGCTGTTACCAGAGCAGGGAGCAGCAGCGGTCAAAATACCTCAGAAACTCGAACAAATAGTGCCGGTCTCAAACCCTGGTCTCCCAGTCTCTGGTCCAACACTCTACCCATTGCCCTATTGGAGCTTGTTGTGAAATGAGCTGCACATTGTACAACAACACGGTGACGGCTTTTTATACTGAGGAGGTGGAGTCTCACCCGGGGGTTGCTAGGTAAGGGGCTGAACGCAGGTTCCGGTGGGTTGTTGTACGGCTTGTGACATCACAAAATGACGGAAGTATAAAACTTGTCGTTAACACACATTAAAAATACATTTACTTACAGTAAATATGCCTCTGGGTGCATTTTCTTGGTCCTAGGACTGTTTTTTTAAGAATTACATACCCAAAGTTGAGTAAAAAAAACCTTTAAAAACTGAATTTTGCATAATAGGTCCCCATACTGTTTATTTTTCATATTTACTGAATTACATTTATCACAGGTCGGAGCCACGCTGTGGGTGGAGATGAAGTCTATCTGCATCTGAGTCTCTGCTTCAAAAATGACGGTCAAGTGATCTCTCACGGTTTTGTTGTGTGTGTGAACACACTGTTAGATGCTTTCAGAAATATATGTAATCCTTGCTGGAAAATTACAAAAACCAAGAGCAGCCTTTTTCTGCATTTAATAATTTTCCATGGTTTTCGAACGAAATAACAAGGAACGTTTTCTCGAGATAACGAGTCAATTTCCTGATGGTTTTCTCAAGATGAGTTAATTTCCACATGGTTTTCTTGAGATAATGAGTCAATTTCCCAATGGTTTTCTCGAGATAACGAGTCAATTTCCAAATGGTTTTCTCAAGATAACGAGTCAATTTCCCAATGGTTTTCTCAAGATAACGAGTCAATTTCCAAATGGTTTTCTCAAGATAACGAGTCCATTTCCAAATGGTTTTCTCGAGATAACGAGTCAATTTCCAGATGGTTTTCTCGAGATAACGAGTCAATTTCCCGATGGTTTTCTCGAGATAACGAGTCAATTTCCCGATGGTTTTCTCGAGATAACGAGTCAATTTCCCGATGGTTTTCTCGAGATAACGAGTCAATTTCCCGATGGTTTTCTCGAGATAACGAGTCAATTTCCCGATGGTTTTCTCGAGATAACGAGTCAATTTCCCGATGGTTTTCTCGAGATAACGAGTCAATTTCCCGATGGTTTTCTCGAGA